CCCTAAGAACGGACCCGAAACCCTAAACCCTAGATCCCTTTGAGGACTGCCTAACAAGGAGCCCTGAACCATAAATCCTAAGGAATCCCTAAGAAGGGACCCTAAACCCTAACCCCGAAATCCCTTTAAGGACTGCCTAAGAAGGGAGCCCTAAACCCTAGATCCCTTTAAGGAATGCCTTAAAAGGGAGCCCTAGGTTGCCTGAAAGGGAGCCCTAGTTTCAGAGAACCGAAGCAAAGGACCCTAGTACAGTACCCCAAATAGTAGGATCCTTATTATCAGGACCCCAAAATAAGGTACCTTGAGATAGCAAGCCACTCAGTCCCCATAAGGTACCCCTAATTTTCGGAAAGTCCCTTAGATGGCTCCAAGGGGCCCAGGGCTCCGAGGCACCAGCCGCGACGCCCGGACCACGCGTTGGCTCGAGCCATAGCTTTTCCGACGCAGGGTTTCTTTTTTTTTCTTTTGGGGGTTTGGGGATTCTTGGGCTTTTTGGGGTTTTTGTGGCTTTGGGTTTAGGGTTTAAGGGGGGGGGGCTTTGTTTTGGGGGCCCTGTTTTTGGCGGTCTTTCTTTTCGGGTGTTTTTGGGTTTGGGGACCTGCTCCCCAGACCACAAAAAAGCCCGGGGAGCTCCAGCACTGGGAGCTCTTTGCCTGCTTTTTGGGATTTCCGGGTTTCGGGTTTATTCGGGCTTTTCGGGTTTTTCGGGTCTGGAAGGCCTGCTCTGAGACCTGATCCTCAGACCCGTACAACGGCCCCTCGAAGCAGAAGGGCTGCGAGCGGTTTGGGGCTACTGCCAACCCTGCAACAGTCCTTGTCCTTGCTCTGTCTGTCTCCGATAGCCCTTCGGTGACCTGTGCAAGCATTTTACCCCCCGTCTGCAGCTGGAGTCACTCGACGAAGGCTCTGTGCGTTGAAGCTCGTCGACGAGCGCGCGGCATCGTTTAACAAAAGCCTCGCCTCATTACAGCAATTGGTGACGGGATGATCTGGCGCTGTCGCCGGAGCCTGTACAAGCGCCAGCATCCGCCACCACGGGGTTGACTAAAGCTGCAGCGCCCCAACGAAAACACCCAGGTGTCCCAGTGGGAGACCTGGCTGGCAGTGTCTTAAAGGCCTAAAGCATCGCAAAAACAAACAACCATAACAACAAATAGCGTTACCTATTATTGGGGAGTCCCTAGCTTCAGGATCAGGGTCCCTTCTAGAACCCCCAAACTCTGACAAACAAAAAGGCGCTGTTACGGGAAGCCTAAAAAAGCCAGAAAATCTCGAAAGCCTTCACACGTCTCATATCGAAGGCATCGGGGGCTCCAAGCCGACTACCGGACCTCTTTGCAATGCCTGTAGAAATCCGATGAATAGGCCTTTGCGGCCTATTATGCTATAATTATATTAAGGAGCCCTCAAAATAGTATTGGCAATTATTTAAGGAGCCCGGGAGTGATGGTGTCTCCCTTTTTGGAGTCTGCAAGGGGGTTCTTCTTGAGGCAGTATACTCATTCAGAGGCAGAGGGCCATTGTCTAAGCTTTAGGGTGCCCCAGTTTTTCGCGAACCTAATGTTCCGAGGAGGAAGATGTCGCACAAGTCGGAGGAGAGTTTGAGAAAACCGCGGCTGCTGTTCTTGATGAGCTGGCTTGCTCCGCGGAAGATGTCTCCTTTCCATTCCTCGATGCTCTTTCGTCTTTCCACACTCTCACGTTGAACAGCACAATGTAGTACGGCAAGTCTACGACTTGGAGTACACAACATCTACATATGTACAGAGTATAAAGCACAAGAAACATACATCTCCAAACTGGTTGAAGATGTACTGGAGTGTATAGATCTAATTCGCGAAGCACTGTACCTTGCTTGCAACGAAACGCTCACGGGCCACGAATTCCGAAGCATGTGCCAACCTAACCCTTAAAAACCCCTAAACCTCTAAACCCAACAGCATGAAACGCACGAGAACTCCCGGTCAGCCGAGCCTGGAATCGGGGCTGACAGCCAGGGAGTTCAATTTGTGCTCAGGACCTGCAGAGGATGTCTTGGGCTGTTTTTGGTGGCTTTACGTACGGGCTAGGGCCTGGGGGTTTGGGTTAAGGGGTTTAGCAGGCTTTAAAGCTTTAGGGGCCTGGGAGCCTTCCCAAGTCTACTTCATTACAGTACAGACTGCGGTGCACCTGATGACAAGGCTCCACCCCGAAGAGAAAAGCTCCGTTCTCACGATGGTTGCCACGACCACTTCCCCTTCATTATCACACTTCCTCCTCAAGCCTCGACTGGAATCGAGCAAACTCCACTATGGCTTCCTGAAGATCCTCTAGTGAGTGTGAAAACATCATCCAGCTCAAGCAGAGTCCTCAATCTTTGGCTTGCCTGCAGGAGTGCCTCCCACGTCTCTTTGTGGAGGATGGTCTTGGGGTCGTGGCACTCCTCGTGAAACTGGCAGCTTTGGCGAGTGGGGCGGGTGGCGAAGCACACGGCACGGGGACAAGGCTTTAATCAGCAGTAGTTTGGGTTTGAGGCAGTCTGGGTGAGCGTTTCTGGCTCAGTGGGTTCCTCGCGCTTCTGTAGCTTTGCAAGGGGGGCCGCTCCTGGTATCGATACGGTAATCCTAAATCCTGTCGGGGGAGTGCAGGGGGTTTAATGCGGGGGCCTTTAACCAGAGGGGGAGGAAAGCGGATGTCATTCCGAATGTTTCGAGCCCAATATTAAGCCCCACTTGACCTTTGCGAGGCAACTTTCTCAAACAAAGCGTTCCTGCCGTGCGATCAGCAGCAGGGCTGCTTTTGCTCCAAACCCTAAACCGTTTCCTCAATCCTGCTTTGATGCTAAAACGGATCCTCTGAAAGACTGCAGAGAGCAGTGGTACCCATTTCAAGTTCCACGCTGGTTCAAAAAGGATACTCAACACAATTACAGACAATAAACAACAAATTTCAATTCAACCCCAAACTCGAAAACTCGGCAGAGGAGCAGGAATCGTCTCGGCGGCGGCCTCTTCAGCAAGAGCTTTTGGGACTTTGCCCCTGCACCTGAGCTTTGCAGCTGCTTTTGGGGTTTGGGTTTAGGGGCTGCCTGGACCCCAAAGAACCTACCTTGTAAGGGTTCCTTATTCTGAATTCCTTATATGAGTCCTTGAAAAGGTAGGTTCTTTGGGGTCTAGGTATAGGGTGTCTTTCGGGATGTTGCGGAGGTGTCGGGCTCCTCAGCGGGACTGTGGAGTGTTAGGAGGAAGCTTTGAATCCCGAGCCTCACAAAAAAAACCTGGAAGCCTAAAGCGGCGTTTCAGATCTTTACGGATAGCATCCTTTAAGGAAGCTACAGGTGGGGAGTTTAGGGCATATAGGGCTTCTATAAGGCTTCTATAAGGTATATAGACCTTCTATAAGGCTCCTATAACGGTAACTACCCACCTGAAAATGTCCTAGAATCATTATAGAACGCTTGGCTGTTCTGGTTTCAAGCTCTGCCTTCGAGTGAAGGATTTGGCAGGAGCAGCTCCCTCATTCATATAGGGGCCTTGATCATAAGCAGAAGAGGGGTTGCGGAACCCGAAGGAATCAGACAGGTAACCCTAAACCCTAAACCACTAAACCGTAAACCCCTGAACCCTAAACCCTAAACCCCTAAACCCTAAACCCTAAACGGTAATCATGCAGGCTTCGGCATTCTCCGGAGATGAGGAGATTGGCAAAACGCTAAACCGACCGGAGTCAAGCTCAGGGTCCCAAGGGAACCCTAAACGTAAGGTGCTAAGCTTTAGGGTTTGCTGGGTTCTTGTGAAGGGATTTTTATTTAAGTTAGCATATTAGGACCCATAGTAAATATTATGGTTTCCTTATTTTAATCAGGTTAATTTAAGTCCCTAAACAAGAACCCAGCTTAGGGATTTCAGGGCCTAGGGCTAAAGCCCCAAAGCATCCCAACCAAAACCCCCCCGGGCTCAAGGCAACTCCTGGAACAGCTCAAGCCGTGGAACTTACCAAGAAAGAGCGAGGAGGGTTTAGGGTTTAGGGGTTTAGGGTCTTGAGGGTATTTCTCTAAATTTAGGGCCCCTCTTTAAGTCCCAGACCCCCTCAACAGGAGTAGGGCACCCCTAAAAGGGATCCTAATTTGGAGAGAACTACCCCAGCTAAAAACCCTCACAGTACCCTTGTAGAAACCCGTATACCTGCGCTTTCGGCGAGTGGCTGGACCGCAGGGTCTGCGCCGGCCTAAAGGCCCGAAAGAGTCTGAAACCGCTCTTCCATTTTTGGGGGGCTTGGGTTTAGGGTTACGGGTTCAAGGTTTAGGGCTGTTTGGGGTTATGGGTTTCTTGTTTAGGATTTAAGGGAATTTGCTTCTTGTTTTTGTTTGATCAGTTTCCTTTTTTAGTCGTGCGTAAGCTCTGTGTTGTGTGTTATCGCTCTTCTGGGTTCCAGATGTGTTTGTTGTTTTCTCCTGCTTGTTCGTGTGGTGTTTTGCTGCGGACCAGCATTTGGAGGTTGTTTTACGAGTGCTTCCTCCACCACCACCACCACCACCAATACTACGAGTACTACTACTTCTGCTTCTTCTTCTACTACTGCTGCCACGCCTAGGGCTACTGTGGCTCTTGCTATGATTGTTTGGGAGGTGCCCGCTAGGGACTTTGTTGCGGAAGAAAACGTTTCACACCAGCTTCAGAGGAATTTCTTGCAGGTTCATGGTCCTTTACACCGCGGTGGAACATACCGTTGCCATCATCAGGATATGATGCAGGGCTTGTACTCGGGACTCTGGCGAGCGCATATAGGGCTCATGCAGGAGCATACGTTTGTGCGTTCATTCAGGGGACACCAGTATTCAAAACGCTGCTTCACGTAGAGTCTCCTGCAGCGGCTAGACGAGCCAGACGGAACTCAGCGAACACACAGTCCGAATAAACATATTGATCCTACAGCTTCCAACCCTGAATCTCTACACACCCAAAAGCCTCGAACCACAAGAACGTCTAGATCAAAACTGCAACCCACCAAGTCCCGAGGGCCCGGACCTGGATGAGAAGCTTTGCCATCTCCAGTTTGCCCTCTCGGGCGGCAAAGTGCCTGAGGAGGTTTTTTCAATGGGTTCATTCAGAACCGGGGTCCCTGATTTAAACGCTTAGGGGCTGAGTACCCTAGCCCAAAAAAGGTTAACCTTCCAATTATGGTAGGATTATATAAGCCCAAAAAGGTTAAAGGTTACCTACGCAGCTACTAAGAACAATAGACTCTAAGCAGTAAGATCCTTAATTTTGGTGCTGAAACTGATAATCGTGGTAGTCGTAGTGGCAGTCGTCCGTCGCACAAGAGCAGCTGTTCGTATTCGTCTTTGTATTGCTATTGTTGCGACTTGCTATTGCTATCGCCTTCACTGCTGCTCGTGCCATTCCTACTTCGATGGCTCTTGCTATTACTACTTCACCATTCCCGTCCCTATTCTGATTGCTCTTACCATCACTATTCTGTCCCATTTCTCATGGCTCTTACTGTTTGGAACCCAATTCCCGTCTATTGCTACTATTGCTGCTATTATGATTGTTGACTATTAGCTCTTACTTTTCCGTTACTGTGACAACGCATTGCGACTGCGATTCGGATTGTCTTGCAAAGACAGTATCTTCATGGAGGAATACGAAAAAGCAGACACACACACACACACTTATAGTATGCGATTTGTACTGCTCTTGCTGCTGCTGCTGCTGCTGCTATTAGTTCTGTTCCGTACGTCTTGGTAGCTACCTGTAGTACCCGAAACCTCTACACCCCTGAACCCGAAACCCTTAAACCACTAAGACCCAACAGCTGGGGCCTACTTGCAGCTCTCTGCATAATGCCGACACCCCGACGCCCCAAGGGCTCCAAACCAGATGCAGGTTGGATCCATCAAGCTTTCTTTGAGGGCTCCAGAGAGGCTCTATCCCAGTTGTTTCAAGGCTCTAAATTTTGGATTTCGATGAGGGCTCTAGACAGGTTCTGTCCCAGTTGTTTCAAGGCTCTAATTCTTGGATTTCTATGAGGGCTCTAGAAGGATCCTGCAGCGGTTCCATAAGGGGCTCTACAAGAGTCTACAGTTTGGAGACGCACCGCCACGAAAAGCCAACACAACGTTTGCGCCCTGAAGGTAGGCTCAAAGCGCAGGGTGCAGGAACCTGGTTTCATGTAGCGGCCTTAAGAACTAAAGCAGTGTTTCCAGGGACCCCACCCCGGAATGTCCTGACAAAGGTACGAAAAGACGACAGTATTAATGGTCTCAGCCCAGGGAGCAAAGGAGTCATTTGCTCGCAGTTCGCTTTGCGCACATCGGCTTTCATCTGGATGAGGATTTCCAGAACCTTCACAGCAGGTAACGGTTAAGGGGGGTTTAGGGTTTAAGGGTTTAATGGTTGAGGGTCTGTCCCGGTATAAGGCAATGAGGGTCTCATGCTGTCAGGCTTTGGTGGTCGGCTGATCAGTCTTTAGGTTTCGCCATTGCTGGCGTTTTTGTGGATGCAAAATGATGTAAGCTTTCCTTTGGCTCTCCGGCAGGTCCCGAAGGATAGCTGCCCAGGGGTCTCCACCGCCGTGAGGTGCTCCGGTGCCTCGAGGAACTATAAAAGTGAAAAGCCGGAATCCCCTCAAAACCTCCGAAGTGTCTCAAGCCATGCAAAACATATCTGTCCCAGATACCTCGTCCCATGCTCATCCCTTTCCCCAAACCCAATCGTTGAATCTTCCCAATTCGGGCGTTTTGGATAACAAGGGACCGTCTTTATGACCATGTCGTAGGATCCTCGCGACCCGCAACCAGACTACCCCAAGTTTGAATTTAACAATAATAATAATACTACTGCTGCTACTACTACTACTAATAATAATAATAGCAATAATAATCATAATCATAATAGTAATCACAATAATAATAATCATAATAGTAATAATAATATTGTTATTATTGCCCTGTCTTCTCTCTGGGCTCAGTGTTCCTCCCGGGAGGCTCCCTGTACATTTTGGAAGCACCATGAGCAAACTGACACTGGCGAAGGGACTCTAAAGCTTGCTCATCTCGGGGGATTCAGGAACTTGCAGTGTAGGTAGGGCTTATAATCAAGGCCCGCTAGGAACATTGTGGCTGCCTCCGTGTGGTCGTTCTGGACAGCCGCAGAAACTGCGGTGGCTCCGTGCTTGGGAGTTGAATTCAAGCAAGCACCGCTGGCGTGGAGGCGTTGAACGACGCCGCCATGGCCTTCCAGCACTATCACGACTGTGACCTATGTTGAGGTGTCATATCTTGTCATCAACAGCTGTACGCTAGTGGCATCAATCGGGGGAAACGCCGACGCAGCAGCAGCAGCAGCAGCAGCAGCAGCACCAGCAGCCGGCAACACAACAGCATCGTCACTATAGTTTAACGTGGCGGGACGATGCCGTTTGCCGTCGTCGCAGTCATCCTAGGAACAGTGGTAGCAGCTGCAGTACTTTTACTGGTAGCAGGTGGCTCTGAGACCCTTACTTACCGCAAAGCCCCCGCACACATTCCGGCCTTTCAATGATGCGATGTAGAGGGGCGTCGCACCGCTCTTGAGCGGCTTGTTTACGTCTGCGGGACCTGAACGTCTGCCGAAAGCCCCGAAACACCTAGAGTTTGGAGACCCTCCCGGAAACCCTCGAGGCCTGCACCCTGGAATGCAGCATCCCTCATTACTTAAAAACTACGCTTCCACTTGGGGTATCTTGAGATGTATTTTCCTAAAAGTACGGATGCGCTATGAGGAACCTTTTACTAAGGGATACATATTGAAATCAAACGCCAAACACGCCATTAAATCCAACACCTAAAACTTGAAATTCGAAACCTTACATCCTACAGGTCCAACCGTCTAATTTTCTGAACCCCGCCAAGCCCGTCCAAACCCTAAGCCCTATACCCTGAACCCTACATCCGAACCTCCAACCCCCAAACTCTAAAGGCCCTAAGCCACAGGTTGTCCAAGCAATTCTGGCTCGGGTTCAGTGCTTTAAGGATTGTTGGGTGGTGGCTCGCGGACCTTGCCTGAGGATAGTGGCACTCGGTTCTTGCAATAAGCGTCTCGCTTCTTTACCCTTAGTGCGGCGTTCCCCCCGTGGCATTTTGTGACATGTCGGCCCAGGTTGCATCTAGCGGTAATGCAGGATTTATATCATCAACCGTAGTACCTTAAACCCTAAACCCTCTAGTATAGAACCCCAACCCTAAACCCTAACCCCTCCATCTGAGACTTTCCAATAATAAGGGGTACCTTACATTGGGGTTTTTAGAATAAGGATCCTGCTATTTAGGGTACTATATTAGGGTCCCATATTTTTCGGAAAGTCCCATAGTATAGAACCCCCAACCCTCAACCCTAAACCCCCCAAATATGGTACCCTTCAAAAGGCCCTCAAACCCTCAACCCTAACCCCCCTTAAAAGGCCCTTTTAAGGCCCCTGAAGTGTGGCCAGGAAACCTGGGCCCCGCAGGAGGAGCTCGACGATGGCGTCGTGGCCTTTCTGCGAGGCGATGAAGAGGGGCGTGGCCTCGGCCACTTCTGTGGGTTCTTTTTTTTCGGGGATTTCTCGGACATTTTTTGTTTGGGGTTCGGGGGTTCTGTCGTTGTGGTGGCTTTTTTTTGGATCTGTATTTTGGGGGCTTGGGGTTCAGGCTAGATGTGTTTTGGGGCTTTCGGCTGTGTGTTTGAAGGCCTAGGGCTCAGGCTTATCTTTTGAGGTTTAGGATATTCCCATGTAACGTTCGACCCTTACTATACAAAACACCTACAAAGAAGGGCTTTATTTATGAAAGCCCTATGTAACTTAAGTAACTTTCGAACCTCAGAACATCCTATAAAACCCTTATATGAACACCCTTTCAAAGCCCCCTACGAAAACGAAAAGTGCAGGTCGGCGTGCAGGAGCTTAGGAATGTGTGTTTACAGCTGTTTTGGGTTTGGGAACCCCCGCGTGAAGGGCACTTCTTGCCTTGGTTCTTATAGCAGGGAATGATGACATCCGGATCCCTGTGATAGTCGCTTGAGGTTCCTTATGGTAACCCCTATCCCCGTAATCCATCCCAAGCACTCCCGGCTAAGAACCACTGGTAGTGGGTCGCCTCAGGCAACATGGAAACAAGAGGGGAAGCTCAAAGCGAAAGAGAACGCTGAGTTTCTTCTTCCCCTCAACCCGGAAGCGATTAAAAAATAGGGCTTGCAATGCAGTCTAGCACCAGACTTGATTTAACCCAAAAAACCCTAAACCCTAAATCCTAAACCCTAAAAAATTACAAAAAAGCAGCACCAGGCTTTAACACACAACACACAGAGGGTGCCGTAGGGGCGCAGAAAGAACCGAAAAGGCTCCGGAAAGGCGATTACGTTTTGGAGCGCCGGGCGACCTGGTTGCTGTTGGCTTGGTCTCTGTCCGGCTGGCGAGGGGACTCGCGAAGCAGGTATCCTGGGCTCTTTTTCGGGGGAATTTAGCTTAAGTTGCTTGCCATTTTGGGGGTTCCTTTCGAAAATAGTAGGGCTTGAGTTCCTCAACTCTCCCTTAACAAAAAGCCCAGTATCGGACGACGCCCACGTGGCCGTTCTGGCAGGCGATGTAAAGCGGGGAGGCGCCGTCCTGCTTGGCCTGATCTACGTCCGCCTGATGCTCGACCAAGAGCCGGGCCACCTGGGTTTTTTGTTAGGGGATTTAAATTTAAATTAAGCTACCATAATAAGGAAACCGTATTCTTTACTATGGGTCCCTATATTATGGTAGCTTAAATTTTAACTAAGTCCCTTAACAAGAGCCCAGCCACGTTCAAGAAGCCCCCCTGGCAGGCAATGAACAGCGGCGTCTCTTTGCTCTGGAGGCTCCGGTTGACCTCGGCTTTTAGGTCCGCCAACTTGGCGACCACTTCGAAATGGCCATTCTGGCAGGCAATGTAAAGCGGGGTGGCTCCACCCCGCTTCGCTACGTTCAGGCCCACCTCCTCCTTCAGCGTCTCCCAAAGCACCTCGACCACTCCCAGGTGGCCGTTCTGTGCGGCCACCAGCAGCGGACTTGAGCAGTCCTCCGTGCAGCTGTACTTTGCCTTCATCTCCAACAACCTGGGTTCTTGCTCAGGGATTTAAAATTAAAGCTACCATAATCAGGAAGCCATATTATTTACTATAGATCCCTATTATGGTAACTTCAATTAAATTAAATTAAATTAAGTTACCATAACAAGGAAACCATATTCTTTACTATAGATCCCTATGATGGTAACTTAAAACTAAATCCCCTTAACAAGAACCCAACAATATTATTTACTGGTACTATAGATCCCCATTATACGGTAACTTAAAACTAAATCCCCTTAACAAGAGCCCAGGCAACAGCTTCACAACATCGCGGTGTCCATTCTGACAGGCGATGAAGAGCGGCGTGGCCTCCCCGACAGCGGGCCTGGGCTGTTGTTAAGGGATTTAATTTAAGGTGCCATAACAGATGTGGCGGAGCTCCTCTTCGAAAGGGGCGCTGAGGTCAACAAGCAGGCGGAGCCGCGGTTTCCGTTGCAGGGAGGCTCCTTCAATCCTTAAACCGGCTCCTCTGAATTCGGTTGCTCCCTATTTGTCCCTGTTTTCTGATGGGTTCCACACATGGGTGCCACAGAAGCAGAGTTGTGCAGAAGGGATGTTGTAAAGGAGTCTTGATGCACAGCGAAGCCGATGCGAGAGCCCACGAAATTAGCTAACAGGGGCGCAATGATGGTAGTTGTCTAAGTTAGGGTCCCTTTTTGGGTCCTTTTTATTAAGGATGCCGTACTATTTTGGGGACCCAAAAAGGGACCCTAATGAGCAGGTAGAACCTTACTGACGGTCATTCAAAGTAGTCCACGCGGTGATTGTCATTTGTACCAGCAGGACACGCCAAGCCTTACCAGCAGCAGCAGAAACACCAGCAGCAGGAGGCATCGCAGTCGCAGTAGTCGTCGTCGTAGTGGTAGTGGTAGCGATGGCAGGCGATGGCATCATGGGGGTACGGGTAGTGGCAGTGGCAATGGCATTAGCAGCTTACCAGACCCCCCGCGCCCCAGCAAAGCGGTACAATAGCACAGGAGTAGTACGGCAATATGGTAGTAGTGCAGTAGTACAGTACCGCCGTGGCACATTACTAGCACAGTAGCAGCAGAGTACTAGAGTAGGGCCGCCATTCACCCCTTCCGTCGCGATAGGCGCAGGACGGCGCCACCCCGATGCTCATTGCGGCGCAAAATGGAAACCTCTCGACATTGAAGTTGCTATGGCGCAAAATTGCTCTTCACTTGGTTGTAAGTTTAAGGTTTAGTCACATCTTCACTTTGCCAAAGGCTTAGGGATGTAGAGTTCAGTAGGGTTTTATTGACAGGGGCTGTGAACGTGGTCATGCGAAGCTGGAGGTTTCAATGGGGGTTCAAGGGACTTGACCAATCACGAGGCTTACTCTAGCGGCTACAATAAGGACCCCTGCAAGGGTCAGTATGTGTGTCGTCAGAGGGTTTAACCCTAAACCTTAAACCCCTAAACCCTAAACCCCCCGAAACCCCTAAAACCCTAAAACCCTAAACCCCTAAACCCCTAACCCCTAACCCTTAAGTTAAGCCCTAAACCCCTAAACCCTAAACCCCCGAAACCCCTGAACCCCTAAACCGTCAACTTTTTGGGCTTGGGCCTGGCCCAGAAGTCGCGTTCTGGGTTTGGGCGTTTAGGGTTCACCGTTTCGGAGGGGGACTGGAGGCTGAGGAATTGGGCGCTTCAGGGCAGGTGGCCGGTGTGTCGTCGTCGTCGTAGCGATAGTGATAGTAGTAGTGAGCTGATGGTATAAATCCTGGATTAAAATATGAATAGACCATAATTCCCATAGTTTAGGGTCCTTAAGGCAATGTAGGATTTATATCATCAACCGTAGTTATCCCTAAACCCCAAACCCCCAACCGTGTTCGTACCATCCTTGTACAGCTCTGGACGACTAGCCTTTAACCTACCGAGGTTGGTCAATAGAGAAGGTGGCTTTTAGTAGCGTTGTGTAGTCTTTTGGGAAGGCTTGGGGGCTTGATGGGTTTGGGGTTTAAGGTTTGTTGTGTTTGCGATTCTAAATGGCCTGCGGGTTTTAGAATTTACCGTTTGGAGTTTTTCGGAGTGTGGGGGCCAGGGTGGCGGACACAGTTTCAGGGCAAGGTCTCTTGGTGATATAGGGTTTGGGGTATATAGGGCTTAGGGTTCAGAGTTTCTTGTGGTGATGAGCATTGCATGGGCATTCTTGTGATTCATGGCAGCTAACAGCTAACTTGGATGCGCGTCGCCTCGAGGAAAGCCGTTGCAGAAAAGCGATCGTCGTCGTTTCGATTTCCTTGCTCCCTACACGCAACCCTGTCCCCTCCAAAGCGAAAGCCTGAATCCGATGCCGCGGGAACCCTGCAGGGAGCCTGTGCAGCACCCTAAACCCTAAACCCCCTAAAACCCTAAACCCCGAAGCCCTGAACCAAAGCGTCTAGAATCCTAAACGCCAGAAAGCCAGCCCCGATTGTAAATTCCAACCACGTGGTCCCTTAAACTCCGCTGAAGCTTCGGGGAAGCATTTTGGCCGCGATTACTGCTGCTGCTTCTTCTTATTCAAACCCCTGTTATAGCTGTTTGGGGATCTACACGGCGGCAGAACGTTTATAGGCGCCTTGAGGAGAATTACCGGTGCTTCTTCGGATCCCCGGCAGGAAACTCCAAAGCCCGAAAATGTATTCCAACACCTTAGTCCAATTCCTATATAAGGCCCCTTCATTTCTAGTTCCTCGGACCCCTTGGCTAAACCCTAAACCCTAAACATTGGCGGTTCCACCCCAAAAAATCCCCGCGACGCGCCCAGGTTCTTGCTGTCCCTGGAGGTAGCGCAGAAGGACCGACTCCTCCTTGGCTCCGCAGGGCTCTGTCTTCGGAGTGGTCATGAACAATAACGCGACTCCACATGATGATGATGATGATGCTGATCATTATCATCGCGATGACGATGGTGATGTTGGATGGTGATACTGATGATGCTATGAAAACATAGAAGAAGATGATGATGCTAATGAGTGGCCCTTCCCATTCACATACTCAGGCAGTCTCAACCCTGAAAATGATGCAGGATCTGTGCATGCACAGCGGGGCCACCCCCGTGTTTGTGTCGGCGCAGAGCCTGGTCCGTTTATTGAGTTGGTTCACCTTCGACCAAAACGGACTTTCGAATGCTTAGGCATGATGCTGCTTAACAACAGTACCAAGAGTCAATCCTAGCAGAGATACGAACCCTGCTGTTGGGGGACTTCTCGGCCTAGACTTTGAAAAGGTGTGTTGTCAGTTATTACGGACATTACTGCAAGATATCAGTAACAGGACAGGATTTTCATGCACACGAATATATCCCCAGTATGGCACACAAATCACACAAACCCTCGACCCTAAAACAGCAGAAGCAAATGTTTCGGGTTGAGGGTGCCCCTGCAAGCGACCCCGAAAGCCATCAAACCTAAGCACCGTACATGGTTACAGCCTTTTTTTATCAAACTTCAAGACCTTCCATCACCTACAACCTCCGCTGAGGAATAACCATTTGGAGGTAGTCAAGGCCCTTGTGCAGCATGGCAGCAACGTGACACTTTGCCTCAGGACGGACGGCGGGCTGGGATTCAGGGCCATGTGGATCGGGTCACGTTTTTTATTTTGAGTCTCTCGACGGGGTGGTCCTGAAACGGCGCTATATGGTGCTGCTGTTGGGGTTGTAGGGGATTGAATTCATGTGGTATGGAGTCAGGGCTCATGGGAGCCATGGAAGGATTTCATTTCTTGCGTTGGATGGCGTAAACCGTGCAAAATAGTGATGTTGCTGTATCTCACTGGGACCTGCTTTTGCTTCCAAGCCTTGCATGTTAGATGCGTTTGCTGCCATGCTCTGAGCGTCACTGCTACGAGTCCCGGGATCAATCGTCCTCCCTCACAGGGAAGAAACCCTGGTAAAGACCTTGCTTCATGCTATGTGTCATGCGCATTGTGTTTCTGATATGCCTCGTTCTGAAGTCATGAGTGTCAGTGCTGGCTTCATGGTGCATAGCGGGTCCCCAACTGACGTAAGCTTACCTGTGGGCTTTCGCTATTTACTTTGTCAGAGAGATCGTCCGGAGTGTGCGACTCGGCGTCTTGCATTTCAAATACCCTCACTATCCCCCAAGCCCTTCCTCTTCCATCCGGAGTCCCTAAAGCCCTGAAAGTCCCTCCGGTTCTCGCCAGAAACCGCGGGAGGAGTGGTGTCAGCCCGGTCTACATCGCCGCACAGAATGGTAACCTGGAGGTGTCGAAGCCAGGAGGGCTGTAGGGCTTTCTTGGGGCCGTAGCCTCCTAAGACCATTCGGGCCTTTGGGGTGATCTTATGGCTTCAGGGTTCAGGAGTCCGATGTGAACTTCCCCTTTTGTATCGCCTTGAGTCTGCGCTGCTTGTGGTTCTAACATACAGAGTATTGATTTTTGTGATAACGAAAGAGAGCCTATAGGTACAACTTATACAGCTAGCCATCCTAGCCCTGGTGACGCAGACATGAACGAACCCCCTCCCTTTCCGTGGCTTGAGAAGGTGCTGAAGTACCTGCTGCAGGAGGCCTATGCCGAGTA